GTTTGTGTTAATTCGGCGACTGAGAAGATTAAGCGAAATGTTAACATCTCGCGACATTTGTCTTCTTTCTATTTTGATGGCTGTGTTAAAGTCTAGGATACATTTTAAGAAAGTTTCATATATCTCACACCATCGAATAGCATTCCAATGATTTAGGTTTCAAGTTTTATTCTCTGTTCATGTATTTTGTTTACATGAGAATCTCGGCACCAGAAGGGTTTGCACATGCTCAGTGAGAAACAGAAAGCAGTTCGGGTGAGTTGGTGCCGCATTATGCTTGCCAGATTTGAAGGTGGACCTCCNGTGGACCTCCTAATGTAGCTCAGGAGTTCATCATTGATGAGGAGACCTGGGTGTACAGTGTCGACCCAGAGAACATGCATTAATCGACTCAGTGAACGCTGGTTGGTGAGGCGCTGCGGCCGAAATTCCGACGAGAACGCAGTGTGGTAAAGCAGATTGGGGCTGTGTTGATTGTCAAAACCGGTCATGTGGCTACCGTACCGCTCACACTGCAAAGCACAGTCACCGCAGACCGGTAAGCCACCCACTGTCTGCCAAAAGTGCTAGAAGTTGTTTTCAGGCTTCGTCCAAGGACTCCAGCAAAAAAGACCATGCCCCACTATGACAACGAACCTGTACATAGGTTTTATACCATCAGCGATTTTCCGGCTAGAAAACACGTCGAGGAGGTTGGTCACCCAACTTACAGTTCGGATCTGGCTCCGTGTTTATTTTTGATGTTCCCAAATGTCAAGTGCATGATGCGTGGAATCCGATACGCGTCACCAACGGCTGCAATGGAGACATTCATAGAATTTACAATACGTTATGAGGAAAATTAAACTCATAAATGTACTGGTAAGCTAAAAATATTCCAGTGAACTTGGAAAATCGAATTTGCCTGAATTTATTTTACTCAACGCAATCCAACTGTGTATTGTTCACGTACAAATGATTCAAGTGATCTACTACTGTCTGTCCCGACATACTATTTACTGATAGGCGTGACAATAATGAATACGGAATGACAAAAGGTGTATCACCCATGACCCCTCGTATTGATTTGATAGACCGGTTAGATTGTCAAAACATTGAGCATATTATTTTTTGGTAAACTTATTGAGATGTTAACTCTTGATTATGTACCTGGACGTCAGATTGGAAAAAATAGACCGAAAAAGATTTCGTTCAGACCTCTGTGTCAATAACTTCAAAGAACTTCACTACACAAGAAACTGATATAATCCGTTATAATGTTCGACAATTCAAGGCACATTTTAGGTAAAGCCATTGGTATAAAAATGGTCGTCCATGGTACAGCTTCCCTAAATTTTCGAAATGTGGAAGACCGTGAAAGCGGATCATTGCAAGTCAATATTCACTGACATGGTATCACGGAAAACCAATTATTAGGAATAAGTATTATGGGCTAAATTGGTCTTTAACTCGATAAATGCTCATTTAGATCAAGTCAGGTGCGTATTTTGACACACGAGCATTGCCACAATTGACAGTAGTTCATTTCCCGGTATAAATTTCATTTCTCTGTTCTGTACAAACACATGATCTCGTCAATCTGATCCACTATTCCCACGTTTGCTATTAGAGTACATTCGATCCTATGCAGAGTTCGCCATCCAAGCTTGGAGTCTATCACTTCAACGTGATCGCAAGATGCTTGAGCGTCCACAAAGGATGGTCACCAAGATGGTCAAGGGATTCCATTACCTGACCTAAGAGGAGAGATTGCGATCAGTGGGACTATATTCTGCTCAGTACCGCCGAACTCGAGGAGACTTGATTTTGACGTATCAAATACTGCAGAACCCAAACCATCCGTGTCAATCGCTCCTCATGTTATCGAAAAATGTACACCTAAGGGGACATCGTTTCAGACTACTGATTCAAAAGTGTCGACTGGATTGCCGGCGCCAGTCTTTTGCTGTCTGAGTATGCAGATCTTGGAACGCCCTTCCATCTCATGTCGTTTGTGCACCCACTATTGAATGTTTCAAGCAGAGACTCGACGAAACCTTGGCACATTTCACATTCGTACACTAAAGGCAAACGGAAATTCATTGTAGTCTACATTCTCTATTATTTCCTACCCGGAACTCTATGTGACTCCTTTTTCGATGTGTAACGATTCATCTGTGTAAATATCCTATGGGACAAGAGAAGCACCAGCTTGTAAGTTATTCCCATAATAAAACTTTTACTTTTACTTCCCTCACCACACTATACACACATCTGAATGTGAACATGGTCAGCTGGTTTGGTGAACTTCGGATACCCTCGGGGTTAAGCAGAGCTGAATGCCACCAGGTTGTGGATAAGAGGGATACCTTCAAAAAAGAAGGTTAGCTGTGAATAAGTTGTGGTATACCCCAACAAATATTCAGTCGCGAACAAACAGCGGCGGCACTATTAGAGTGTGGTGGGTTTCAGGCTGGTCACTTGGTTCCTGTTTTAAAGCCACATAAGCTCAATGACGGTATCGTGACAAAGGTCGATGTGACTGGCCTTTTAAAACTAAAGTCATCAATTCCCTTACTTCCGAACCGAAGGTTTACATCCTGCTGCATTGCAGTTCGCACTTGGTTGTGCAAAGGCTAGTGGTGCGCCTTCAAAATAAAAAAACGCCGAGTGACGCTGGGGACGTTTCTCGTACCGACCTCCTAAGTACCTTCATGATAATGTCTTCTGCAAGCTTCATTACTTATGCCACGGCGTCCCCGGTAAGCGACGCATCCCGCGCTCCTTCAGTGGTCGGGGTGTCAAGAATGCAAACTGGAACTTCTCAAACCCTCCGACTTAGAAATCCCCTCTACGTGGGATGCTGGAACGTCAGAACCCTCTTGGACATTGGGAGTCAGGCAAAGACTATTCTCACGTTACATGACTACCGCGTAGATATTGCATGCTTATCGGAAGTACGATTAGCATGCAATATCTACG